AATGTTTAACTTCTATGACTCCTTATAGATTGGGGCCCTGTAAGGGGAAGGAGAAAAAACGCTGGCTTATTACCTTTGTTGATTAACAGATCAACTTTCTCAAGCATTAAAGTACTTTATAGGCCTACAAAGTATAGACTGTAGGTAGAGAATTACAGATTTCCCTGACAAGGTGTAGCTTATTACTGACATTGTGCAGTAGAGCAGAGATGACAGCACATGCCATTTGCATTTATCTGCCTTTCTCAGGTTGGCTTTGGAAGATTGGGAAGAAGAGATGAAAATTCCTGCTGGGAAGTGAAGAACTTGTGGGATGACAAGGAGATTACAGAGTTGCTTTAAGGACCTGTAAACAGGCAGGCATCACTTCATTACTCCCTGAATTGCAGCCACTTCTAGGTGAAACAGCAAACACAGGGATGCTTAGGTTAGGAGGTGGGGAATGGTTTGTTATTGCTTAAAAGGAAGTTGGAACAAAAAGTCAGGAATCACTCCGAAGCACTGTGTGCAATGATAAATGAAAAGGTCTGCCTGGAACTTAAGTCCTGCACTGTCCCCAGTCACACTCAGGACATTCCCCTCTCTTGTCATGAATCAGTCACTGCTCACATACAAGGAAGCTCAGCTACTGCCAGATACACCCACTGGGACGTAGCAGCTACATAACCTCCAGGACAGAGACAAAGAAAGCTATCTCAGAGCTTGGAGCAGGAAGATGACACAGGCTGAGTACTTGGGATCCATCTATGATCTGTCACGAGCAGTTGCACAGCTGACCAGTGAGAGAGGGCACTGCTAGTGGGGGCATGCAGCCATGCAAGCAATCACTGCCTCCTCCACCCACCTCTCCCTCTGTCTGCCCTTCATCCAGATCTACACAGGCTCCAAACTAATTTTACAACCTGGAATGCTGTTACCACAATCAAATTATGAAAGAAAAGCTCATCTTGAGAGAAGGCAAAAATCAGCTCCCTTCTCTGTCTCACAGCTGTCCCCTCCTCCTCACCATGTGTTCCTGAAACTTGGGGCTGTTCCAAGCACTAAATGCACTGGAAAGCATATCCTTGGGCCAGCTGTGATCTGATCATGGCACATTGGCTGCGGGTGAATCAGAAACCAACTGATAGGCCCAGGAACAATGCAGCCCCTTGTTAGGCTGCGAGAACAGCCATCGCCTTCAGCCTCTCCCATCCCTTCCCCAGTCAGTCTTCAGCAGAGCAGGATGCCAGGACAGCTTCTGTAACATGTCCTGCATGATCCTTTCCCACAAGCCCTGTGCTGAACTGCAGCTATTTTCTGGTTTGAATGACATGGTCCTTGTGTTGTGAGAGACTCTGAGTGGGGACTGTTGCAGCCTCTTTGGAAGTGGGTGCACAGCAAGTGACAGGCTGACACTAATATTTATGTGCAAGCTGCCATGGGGGAGCCCCAGCAGCAGCACCTGGGACCATGGTTCCTCTGGAATCCCAAGGGCTGGAAACCTCCAGGGAAGCTGCTTCTCATCCCCATAGAGCACTCACTGGATTGCACAGATCCCAGGAGCCAGATTTTATCTGGCCTTACAGCTTTGCCGATGTTTTGTAGGCTCTGTATGTTTATGACATTAAGTAAGCATTATGGAAATGAAGCAATGGCACAGAGCCAGAGCCCTCTGTTTTTCCCAACCCTCCTCACAGCTAGGCTGTTGCAATTCTCAGGAGCAGATGCTGCAGGAAAGGGGTTAGTGGTGGGACAGGGCTCAGTCTTCTCCAAGGCAATATTCTGAGGGGGAACAGAGTGCTGTTTGGAGGGAGAATAAGCATGACCAATTTGAGGCAGTTTACAAAAGATTGCAGAGAAATTTAACCCTGGTGCATTACCAAGTCTCATATCTAACAGTTCTTTGCATTTGTATTGAATTACTGTGCCAAAGCACCAACCGGGATTGCCCAATGTTTGGCAGTACAGCCCCATCTTCAGGGTAAATATGCTTTGCCAATCAATTCCCATTGCAATTTTGATTAGACACAATAATTTCCTTGCTTCCTGCCCTAAACACTTGGCATGTTGTACCACAGCTGCATTTCAATAGAGCATAAAAGATCCAAATACATTGGTTCTAGCAAATTTCAGTGTAAATCTGGACCTGAAATTGGGATCCTTCCAATTAAAAAATACTGCACAATGCAAGACATTATTAATTGTTGGTAAATGAAAAGTACAGATTTGTCCTGTGTCTTTTGCTAGTCCAAACTGCTTTATAAGCTAGGAATACTACATACCCTATATGGGAACTATTTACCATTACCAAAACAGTCACTTGCCTAGCGGGAAGCTCTTACGAGCACAGTAGCACCAGCTCATGAAAGAAATAGAGCAGAAAGTTAATTTTCCTAAAAATTAGTGTTGACTTAGACAGCTGTAATAAGATTCTAATCACATCCAAATTGATTCTGCAACTGTGGCTTAAATTTGTACATACTTTCCCACCCCACTGACTTTTGTTGGGGAACTTCTGCATTTTGGGCCGAAACACCCTTGAATCTGGTCCTGATATTCCAGTGTACTACAGCTCCATCAGAAGTGAAATTTGCCTGGCTAGATCAGACCTAAATAGTTGAAATGCACAGTGAGATGTGTATAGAGATTCAGTCTTTTACGAAATATGTAAGTCAGCAAGAACCATATATTGAGCCATCACAGCAATTAATATGGGGTACAGCAATTGAGTATAAAGCCAGCAAAAATTTAACATGAGTAAATTTTACTAAAGCTTAATCTGAATCCCAGAAAGAAAACTATCAGGATTTTCTTGATACATTGAACTCAATAAACTTGCTTTGAATAGCTGTCTGTGAGTGTGACAGAGAGAGAATTAGTCTGGAATGTTATAAGGACGTCAGCCAAGCTCCCAGCATCTGGAAAGCAGAAAGCAGAACTATATTTAGTGCACAATGACTTGCAATAATTTGGGGAGGGAGCAGAGAGGAACAAAAAAGAACAAGAGAAAAGAACAAAACTTAAATTGGCAGTTTTGGACAATTAAATTAATTATAAAGAGAAAAGAACAATAAGGCTGGGAGAAGGATAAATGAAACCCTGGGGTATATGTTATTATAAGACATTCTACAAGCAGAAATGTTGTATAGAGTTAGCAGACATATTTATAAACACACTATAGATAATGCATACTTCAGTATAAATACCACCTCTAAGAATTTCTGTCACAGAACAGTTAGGGCACTGACCTCTGCTGTACATTCATTTCCTTTATGTGGCTGAAATGGCCTAAATATATTCCTTAGTTAGGCATGGGAAACTTCTTCCATATGGCAACTGCATCTGCAAGAGTACTCTGCAGTGTAACTGTACTCAGTTATGAATGTGTTATGAACTCTTTGCAAAGCATGTAGAGGTTACTGTGTGTTCCCCTACACCTACTTGTGAACAAAACAAGCACCAAGTAAACGGTTGCTGTACATTCAAAACAAAAATGGTGTAACACTTTCTAAGTTCCTTATTGCTATAATAAAAAAGTAGTGAACAGTCACATTCCCCTTCTATCATTTACATAGCTTTTGTTTTATCCTTCACTTGACTTAAACATTCCATACACTAACTCTTCAGTGCCACTCGTTTTCTGCACTTTCTTAGATGGAGATGCTATGATTCCAGAGCCTCCACCTTTAGCACTTTAAAGGAAATCTCAAATAACAAACATGACCTGTTAAAATCGAGGCACACATCTCAGGCACACTGATGCTGTTTAAAGGATAACTAAGATGAATGCAAACAGTATTACTGACAAAACAGTAAAAAGATGATTCTATTAATAAATGTCAAAGTATTTTTCTGGTGTTCAAACTAATCTAGCTTTCAGCTTCTAAGAAGCTGCCAAAAGATGATGTGTGAGATACAAAAAGTGCTGAGCAGAAGAGAGAGCAGAAAGTGTTACCTGTGCACAGGCAGCCATTCCCTAAGCTTGGTGAAAGACAGCAGAGGTCTGGGGCCTGTGAGCTGGGAGGAGAAGCTGGGTCTTGCCTGCAGTGCCAGGCAAAAAGCAGAATATTGCCTTTGAAGCACAGTCCAGAGCAGCAGACATTTTGAGAAGAAGCAAGGAGTGCTTCTGTGATTTGGCTGCTTTAGCCATCAGTCTGTACTTCACTTGTATTTACAAATAACAGCCAAAAAAAGAAAAAAAAGACTTCTTTCTGAAACTGGCAGCTTGGGAGAAAGTCAAAAACCAACAGCCATTTTCCATCTGGCTTCAAGATCAGTTAACATTTGTAGGGACCTGTATAGCCTCTTATTTGTAAACTTCAAGTTGTGTCTCTCTCTACATTAGTGGTCTCATGTGACTTGTGTACAGGTACAGGGTGCTTTGAGAAATACTCCTGCTGGCTCTCCATGTATTAGACAGCTGTATTACTTACTTGTATGTCCTACTGTTCTGTCCCAAAGGATAAAAGGAGGGACCTTGTTCCTTGTTGTACTAAATACAACAGTAGTTTCTAGACTAGACTCTGCTAATTAATGTTCCAGCATTTGTGATATATGTGCATACGAACTGGGGCTAAACCAAACCTACCCACAGGAACTGCAGGGGTGTAACTGAGGTACCTATTCTGCAGTCTCAGATGCTCTTGACCAGTTATACAATATACACACATAATTTAAAACAATGAACAATTTTTCAGTACAGTACAAGGGATGACACCAGCATTGTATCTCTTTTTAGACCCACAGATACCCAGCAACAGAAAGGATGGGGAGTAAGTACCTTTACTGCTGCAGAAGCAGAGTGGAAACAGGATAATATAAGAGATATATGCAATATAAGAGATTCACAAAACAAGGAGACAAGGATGTCGAATAAAAAGAGGTGAGGATTGAGATAACTACAGAGAAACTGTAGCAATGCCCATAATACCATCTGCAAGGGCAATGTTAGAAACAGTCATGTAAATGATTGTATCAGTCCTTCAGTTGATATAGGAATTGGGGAAATAAGGACACTTAACTGGACAATGCAGAGACTGGAGCACAACTCTGTGATGGAATCTGACTTGTCCTACTAGGTGAGATCACAGTGCCTAAGGAAAAAGACAAGAAAGCACTGCTGCTCTCATCCGACATGGCATGGAGCTTTCTTTTCCTCACACTCCTCTCAAGCAGGGCACTCACACATCCTGTTTTCAAGGAAAAACATATGTTTGGAATATTATAAATGAAAGCTGCTAAAGAAAACTGCTATTACGAATGAGTAGATTTTGATACATGTTTTACATTCTTTGGGGTCTGAGATCCCATTTGAAGCAGAACTGCTGTCTGCAAATACCCTGCTGAAGTCAGCAGAAGATGAGGATTTACTGTAATCACTACAGCACTGAGCAGTGAGCTAGGCTCATTCCTGAACAGTTTCCTAAGAGATGTTAACAGCCTCAGCTGGGTGCTCTTTGTAGCTCTGGCAGAGGTCAGCTCTGTCTCTAAGCACAAATCAGAAAAGTAAATCTAGTCTAAACAATTCTCTGTACTGTTCCAGAAGCAATTAAAGGCACTTTGCTTTGTGTATTTCCCCTAGGTGTGAGCAGACACTTCCCACAGACAGTTTGCACAGCAAAAGCTCAAAAAGCATAAACTCTTTGCAGAGAAAAAGGCAAAAAACCCTCCTGCTTTATCCATGTAAGTCTGAACTGGACAAAACAGTGCAGGATTAGCTTATCCAGGCACTGCCTATGACCTGTACCTGGAGAAAAGTAATGGTAAAACAATTCCAGTTCAACTCTTCCAACTCCATTAGGATCTTTATTAGCAAGGTTAATACCAACAGATTAGGTATTCACTTCTCAGTTTGGTATTATTTAGCTAGGAATGAAAATGTAATGTGCTCCATCAACATGTCACCTACATTCATGACAGATACTAGCACACATGGAGCTAAAAACATCTCTTGTCCATGAGTTTTATAAAACCAGCAATGATATGAAAAGTGTAGAAACAAGTGAGTACAAAGTTAACTCTCACACATTTTGAAATTACTATTATAAATACTTAAATTATTATATAACACTTCGTTAAAGTGCATTTGGCTGTTTCTTTGTTCATGATTCTCCAAAAACAGAACAATAAATACAATCACTAATAAGTATTCATATAATATTACGTATACTCACTATACCTAAAAACTCCCACTGCTAAAAGCTAGGATCAGCAGTCCCAGGAATTCAACACACTGTCTATGAATCTCCTGTGTATTATCACTGGCGTACTGTTATTTTTTCAAAACAGAAATCTACCCATATAACTGGCATCATGATAGAAGGGATGAAACATGAGTAGCTCATGGAGTCAATATTTTTACATTTATTCTTTTATATTCCTTTTAAAAAAATCATAATTTACACATTCACACATGATGTACTTCTCCAGACTTGACGCAGCACAACTCCCTACATAGCTTTTATTCATGATTGTGGCAGTGAAGAAAAGAAACAAACTAATTTATGTAACCTGAAATCCTGGCCTTAGCCTGCGGATACAAACTTTATCTCTGCTTATATTGCCATAGAACCTTCTAACTGCAGAACATTCCCTGAAACAAACTCCCAAAGCACATACTCATATACTGACAGTGACTGGCAGAAAGCAGGAGTGGAGTGCCCTTACTCTGGCATAGCTGACACTGTCTGCAGGCCAGGGAGCAAACCTGCTATTGTTAGGGGATGCCAGCAGCATGTGCTGGCACCAGACAGGATTTTGCTGTAGCCTTGCAGATTTCTGCTTCTGGTTTCTAAGCAGTGCCAAACACTGCTTGTCCCAGTCTGCCCCTGAATGGAAAACCTTTTCACCGGTGGCTCATCTACACCCATTGCTAATTTTCACCAGCAGCAGCCAGAGAGTTTCCTAATATGCAGAAGGTGCAGAAGCATAAAAAGAGGACAGTACTTTTATACTTGCAGAGATAACATATTTTTTTACTGCTATTTGACACTGCTGATCACTACCAGCCCCAAAAAGTCCAACTTCATGGAGGAGTACATAACAACTGGCAGCAGAAAGGAGAAACACCTGTTGTACCAAGAGGTTTGCATTAATCACTTCAACTTCTCAGTAAATTCTAAAATAAAAATCTATCTCAGTGGTTTTGCATAGGAAGAAGCAAGACACAGCTAGGGGCCTGGACTTGGTTATATATGTAAGTTGTATTCAGAGAGCTCAAGATACCAATCTAGAATACTTTTAAAAAGCAAACCAAAACTTTTTTCCTCTATCAGTGTCCCCTAGAACACCAGGCAACTCTCACCTCCATTGTCAGGCAGGTGATTTTACCATTTACCATTAGATTATCTTTATTTAGCATGGGAAACTAAGTGCACCCATTTAATTTTATGCAAACAATCTGCTCTGGGCCGTCTGGAACCTGAAAGAAAGGTGTCACCCTTTCTTTATAGGGTGCTAAAAAAGGAATTTTTGGCACATGAATCCAGACAGTATTCAGATTCTATAAAACAATCCATGCTGCAGCCCAAATTCCTCCCTGTGGATTATACCAGTGAAGAAGATGGTCCCTAGACTTCTATGACAGCATAATGTCAGATTCTGGATCTATGTGGAACTGGCATGAGCTCTGTAATAACAGAAATTATTCAAATGTTTTTGCTACAATAAAAATGCCTTCTCCACTCTCTGACAGTGGGCTAGAGGAGAATCTAGGACACACAAGACAATCTATTTGCAGATATTTGCCCCTGAGGTGCCAAGCTATCCTTCATAACATGACTACTGCAAAGTATTAATCCAGCAGAAGACAAAGCATGCCTAGATTTATTTCAAATTGTTTTCTTACATACAACTACAAGGGAGGGAATGGGCAGCTGTCTGTTCTCATCAATGAAACCCTAAGCAGGAAGAATTCTTTACTGAGTAGCTGACTGTCCTAAGGCCATTTTATACTTTCACATGGCTTAATAGACCTGAGAATTAGAATTGTTGGGGTTTATTCAGCTAACAAATACTAAGTATTTTGGTTTCATTAACAGTATCCTTTTGAAGCTGTGAAAAGTCATTTACGTATTTATGTATTGATTTCTGTCCAGAATCCCAGCTGAAATGAAAGTCATGAAGGATCATGTTTGCCTTCAGCTGCTATCATAAAATCATTGCAGAACACTGTTTAATTAAGACTGATTTTCAATAGCATTTTAAAACACATTCTGGCCTCACCTCTCTTGACTAAACTTGAGGTGATCCAGCAGTGCTATGTGGGATTACACACTAAAATTATCCAAATGTGTGCAGGCAGACTGAAGGTGCTTTGGTTATGAGATTCAGGACCAAAAGCACAGGCAGGAGCTGCACCTTTGTTGTGAAACAGCAGGAGCAGAGCTGTGAGGAAAAGTTTGCAGTGTACCTGGGAGTGTTACAGCTGCCTGGAGCTGGCACTCCCAGTGTTTCGCTTTTCTGCCCACCAGACATGTCTAAATATCTTGAGAAAACAAGAAACAAAACAATAGGTGACTGTAGTGTGAATTATAAAAGCCTGGCTTCCCTGTTGGAACCTGACTGCTGCTCCTAAACTGCCCCAGCTGTGCTTTCACAGTCCAGGATGTCAGCACAACTCCTCCAGTGAATCACTGCCTTGTGTTCCCTCACGGGCCATCTACAGCACCCTTTTCTAGGCTGTATTGTAAGACTGGGGCAGGTTTCTGAGCCAGAAGGTCAGCACTACTGCCTCTCTGCTCCAGAAAGTTAGGTTCACTATGATACTGTACCAGCAACAGCAAAAAAACCCAACAAACCAACCCAAGATGAAAATAATGCAGCATATGGAATGCACTGAGTTCTCAGTAGTGTAGTGTTTTGTTCCTAGCAGGAACAGGTAGAGCAGACATTTGAACTATTCACTGACAGATCCTGAGGGATTCGCTGGCAGAGCAAAAAGTTTTCTAAATATATGATAGACTGTGTGACTCTACGAGCTGACACAGGGGCAAGGGCCAAATTAGTCCTGGCTGAAATTACATGGATATCAGGCAGCTCCCTAAAATGAATGTGTCCCTACAATGAATGCAGTTTTTCTTTCACTACCAGGAGCCCTCATCTGTCTAAATAATTCCAAGTTAATATTGGACTTCACTTACTGTGTGTTTTGATTTTTTGAGAAAATGAAGAGATACCATGCAACCATCTTAAGTAGTTTCTTTTGTAACTGCAGTCAGTTCTTCAAATGCTGATGTACTGTCCTGTTGCCAACTACAACAGCATAACCTTTCCTCCCCTCCTCTTGTTTCCAGTGACAGAAGAGCAAATCATAAGCCAGGTCTGCTCCAGGCTGTGTCTCAGTAGGTATCGGCTATGTGAAAATGCATGCCCTTCCCTTCGTGTCAGTGCAGTGTCCCCCTGGTTACTACTCATCTTGGTTTTGGAACAGAAGAGTGAAATCACTCCAGTACTTTTCATCAAATCTATTTAAAAATAGATACAAAAGGAAAAAGAAAATATATATTCTTTGTTGATTTATCTATGAGCACTGGAGAGCAGTTGTATCACTGATGTTTTGGAGAAGGATCAGACACCTTCATAGTCAAATAGCACCATCCAACATATGGCAGTAGATGAAGACTGCATTTTGCCTCTCATATTCACTCTGAATCCTTCTAAATCACCCCTGCCAATACAATACAGTCCTTGAAGATCATTAACAATCGTCAGAAGAGCAAATTCTCATTTATGTAATAGGTTAGGTTGCACCAAACAGCAGGTATGAAAAGTTCCCTGGGGGAAGACACCTGCAGAGTCTGTTCCTTGACCTTCAGCTCCACTTCTCCTACAGATGAATGATGTTTGATTCAGCACTGCATTAGCAGTACATATGCAAAGTATGTCTCAGGAACGAGACATCAGCTCTTCTGAAAAAGATCAGTCTTATAGTTTCATTTGTCGGGTGATGCTTCCTTCCAATTTTGATCAAATGGAAAGCACTCCTGGTTAAAGTAAGAAACAATTGAATACATTCTCCAACTCATTCTCTTTGTGAAAATACACATCTTGGAGAGCAAAACATTTAAACACAGATTGTTGTTGGAAGAATTTTTCTGTAAGAGGTCCTCAAACATTAAAAACACATAAAATATTCTATTAATGAGCTGAGGTCCCCTTAGCAGGGTCTGGAGCACACTGTAACTCAGAT